TCCTATGCCTCTGGCCTTCATGGGCAGCTACACACTGAATAAAGACAGTTCAATTTGACACAGCTAAATAGCCAGTGTTGGTTCAAACTTCAAGAGTCTGACCCCAGGTAGTTTATTTTAGGTATAGTTAAGCATAGCATAATTGGCTGAAAAATTCCCGGTGATAATTAATCCAATCCCATGTGCATAATAAATCTTAAGATGTGACTAATAAAAACTCTCTATAAAGTAAGTGTGGCATCTTCCATAAAGATGCGTTCTATAAATTAACAAGCTCACAATAAGGGTCTCGGGGAGGATCTAGTGTGGTCTTGGCCACACAGAGAGAGCCCAAAGGTCACCATATTATTAACCATGTCCACTCCCAGCCTTCTGGGTGGAAAACAGGTTATATACATCCTTGGCTTTGAAGGGACAACCCTGTGTGTTTAACATTCCTTGTTCTGCTACTGCTTATCTGTGAGAACAAGAACCCCTGTACTCCCCCAACACAAGTGCTCATACCCAAACACATATGCACAATTTTAAAATATTTTTTTAAAGATCTGGAAGAGTTTCATTTCATGTATGGACAGACAGACAAACAGATAGATAGATAGATAGATAGATAGATAGATAGATAGATAGATAGATAGAGATATCATACACTTTTGGATAAGTGCAGTTCTTTTTCAATGCCAGTTAAACATATCCCCTCACTTCTCGGGGCCCTTTCAGGTTTTTGGCATGAAGATATTTACATGTTTGCTGTGATCGACAGTCATTTCATCCAATGGCCTCTACTGCTGAAATGTTTGTTTAAAAACTGTGATACATTCGAAAGACTCAGGAAGTTAATATGTGTGCATTATGTTCTCACTTGTCCCAGGCACTGTTCTAAAGGCTAGAAATATGACTGTGAACAAAGACAAGCCCTGCCTTTTAGAGGCCAGCATACTGAAAGGCATGTAATAATAAGTGCAGAGAGAGAAAATATAGTTAAGGACTACAGTTACTATTGTATTAGGGGTTGGCAAGATGGCTCAGTGAGTATAGGTGCTTGCCAACAAGCCCAAGACCAGAGTTCAATGACCCATGGCCACATGGTAGAAGAGAACTGACTCCTGCAGATTGCCCTTTGATCCCCACATATTCACTGTGTCATATGTTCCCATAAGCACACATACACAGACACACACAGATACACACAGACACACACACACTAAATAAATGAAAAAATGATACAGTGTGCTGGAAATTTGCTGAGTTGATTTTAAACACCATCACACACACACACACACACACACACACACACACACACACACACACACACGAGGAACAGTCATACAAGATAACAGATGCTGATTTGGTTGACTATAATAATCACTATATATATGTAAAAAAAGAAGTGTTGTACAGCTCAAGTCTGAGACTGGCTGTCTTTTGACTTTGCCATTTACTATTAAGGGCTCAGACTACTCAGCACAGTTGTTTCAAAATACCCTTCACAGTGGACTGCAACACTCCTGTTTTCCATCTTACTGGATTCCTCATTAAGGAATTGGATACATTTTTGGCACATTAATGATGTGTTTTTGTAGGACAGTCATGTTTTGAAGGCTGTACTTCCATAGCAGCCTGAATCTCTGTTGATTTATAAAATGTACCCAGTGCCCTTTTCTCTGCATTCAAAAGGTGATGAAAGAGCACAGAACATCATAAGAAGTCTCACATCACTTTTGAACACTTCTCTAAATAAGATTGTGGTGATCAGTTGTGCCATTGATACCTTAAGGGAAGTGTTTAAGGGAGATCCAGCCCACTGCTTATGAAGGGGGAAGTTGGCACAGCCATGAAATAACATCTAAAGTTGAGAACAGATCTGTAATATGGGAGATAAATACTGGCTTTTAAACAGAAGAGTACTTCAACCTATTGCCAATACTTGTCTTTCCTCAAATAGGCTCCACCCCTCCCACAGGGAAGAAACAGAACAGAAGATCATTTCAGGTGACTATGCAGAAAGTTTCCCTAAAGCAAACAGACAGCAGAGATCCATAATCCTACTACTAGGAAACAATTCCCTAGTACTACAACTAACAGAGCTGAATGGTCTGAAAGGGTTCATATTCATTATGCCTATGGGTGGAGCCTGAGAACATGCATCTACAAATGCTCCAGGTGATTTGAATAAGACTAAAATCGGAGGTGAACACATACTTAATACTACGTTAAGAGTATTGGAGTTGCTTAACTATTCTATTTTTAAAAAATTCATGCATGCATCTGTAACATCCAAACATCACATCCCTTACCTGATCCACAAAGCCCTTCATCACCTGGCCCAGGTCTCTGCAATTTCATCTCCACCTCTACATCCACTTCTGCCCTTCAGTCACCCTACACTGTGAGGTTTAGTACATTTTTGTGCGGTCCTCCCTGATGTTGACACAGGTCTCTCCTCGTCTGTGGGACTGAGGATCTGGCTTTCAATTTCAAACCACCTTGGTAAATGTGGGTGTGTTGTAGAATATTATTTTAAAATGTGTCACATTTGTTGATGCTGTGGAACATTTGTTTAATGATCATACCATCTTTTACCTGTCAGAATGGCTAAGATCAAAAACACTGACGACAGCTTATGTTGGAGAGGATGTGGAGCAAGGGGAACACTCCCCCACTGTTGGTGGGAGTGCAAACTTGTATATCCACTTTGGAAATCAGTATGGCGGTTTCTCAGAAAATTGGGAATCAATCTACCTCAAGACCCAGCTATACCACTCTGGGGCATATACCCAAGGAATGCTCAATCATACCACAAGGACACATGCTCAACTATGTTCATAGCAGCATTATTTGTAGTAGCCAGAACCTGAAAACAACCTAGATGCCCCTCAACCAAAGAATGGATAAAGAAAATGTGGCACATATACACACAATGGAGTACTACTCAGCAGTAAAAGACAATGACATCATGAAATTTGCAGGCAAATGGATGGAACTAGAAAATATCATCCTGAGTGAGGTAACCCAGACTCAGAAGGACAAACACGGTATGAGTGAGTTACTCATAAGTGGATACTAGATGTAAAGCAAAGGATAACCAAACTACAACCCACAGCACCAGAGAAGCTAGCTAACAAGGAGAACCCTAAGAGGGACACATAGATAGCCCAGTGAAGGAGAAATAGATGAGATCTCCATGAGCAAACTGGGGGGGGGGGGGGCAATGGAGGGCAGGGGATGGGGGATGAGAATATAAGGGAACGGGATGGTGGAGCTGGAACAGGGACAGAGTGGGAGAGCAAGGAAAGAGATACCATGATAGGAGGAGGCATCAAGGAAACAGGGAGAAACAGGGTGCTAGGGAAGTTCCCAGGAATCCACAAGGATGACCCCACCTTAGACTATTAGCAATAGTGGAGAGGGTGTCTGAACTGGCTTACCCCAGTAATTAGATTGGTAAATACCCTGTCATCATAGAGCCTCCATCCAGTAACTGATGGAAGCAGACACAGAGATCCACAGCCAAGCACTAGGCCGAGCTCCAGGAATCCAGTCGAAGAGAGAGAGAAGAATTCTATGAGCAAGGGACACCAAGATCATGATGGGGAAACATACAGAGACAACCAAACCAAACTAGTGGGAACTCATGAACTGTGGACCAATAGCTGTGGAGCCTCCATGGGACTGGACCAGGCCTTCTACATAGGTGAGAGAGTTGTTTAGCTTGACCTGCTTAAGGGCCTCTGGCAGTGGGATCAGGATCCATCCCTGATGCATAAGGAGGCTTTTTGGAGCCTAGTGCCTACGGTGGGACACCTTACACAGGGGGCTCAGGGGGAGGGGCTTGGACCTGCCTCAACTGAATGTACCAGGCTCTGCTGACTCCCCATGGGAGACCTTGCCTTGGAGGAAGTGAGAATGGGGGGTGAGTTGGGGGGGAAGGCTGGGGGCAGGAGGAGGGAGAGGGGTACCTGTGGTTGGTGTGTAAAATGAACAGAAAATTTCTTAATAAAAAATAAAAATGATGTGTCACATTTGTCGATTCTGTGGAACATTTAATGATGCAAAGATGTGTTGCATTCTTTCATGTTGCATTTGTTTAACCGTGTGAAGCTGCGTTACTTTGCCTGTCTAATAAATACACCTGATGCTCTAATAAAGAGCTGAACAGCCAATAGCGAGGCAGGGGCAAGGATAGGTTGGGCTGGCAGGCAGAGAGAACAAATGGAAGGAGAAATCTGGGAGGAAAGGAAGAAAAGATCAAAAAGAAAGAGAAAAAGATCAAGGAACGAGAGGAGGACATCAGGGGCCAGCCATCCAGCCACCTAGCCAGACATGGAGTAAGGAGAAGGGAAAAGGTATACAGAAATAGAGAAAGGTAAAAGCCCAGAGGCAAAAGATAAATGGGATAATTTAAGAAAAGCTGGTGAGAAATAAGCCAAGCTATGGCCGGGCATTCTTAAGTAATAATAAGACTCTGTGTGTGGATTTATGGGTGGCAGCCCCCCAAAAGAGCAAAAACAACCAACAACGTAAGTGACCCCCTTAAGCCTCAGTGACTATATAAATGAAGGTGAGGGGTTAGAGAGGGTTCACTGGGCTAAATGCCTACTGTGTAAGCATTAGGTCCTGAGTTCAGATCCCCAGTCCTCCCCTGAGACAGGAGGATCCTGGGTGACAGGGAGGGGATGGGAGGGAATGCTGGCGTCCATTTTAGCCAATCACTGAGCTCCAGGAGGAAGTGAAGTCTCTAGCCTACCTGGTTCAACTCCACAAGTAAAATCAAGCCCTGCTCAGTGCTCGAAAACAGAAGCTGTGGTTAACAGCACCATCTACTCTTCAGAGGATCCAAGGTCTGTTTCCAGCACCCACATTGGGGAGCTCACAACCACTCCAGTTCAAAGGGATCCAATGTCCTCTTCTGGCCTCCATAGGCACCTGCACTCAGGTACACATACCCACACACAGATACACAAATACATAATTTTACAAAAAGAAAACATAAGCCTCACACGTGAAATAGCACTATTTAATTTTACAAATGTTTTATAGAGGCAAGGATGACTAGCAATCTACATTCATGAAAAATAAGACATACTCAACAGCAGAGTCCCAAATGGTTGTTCCTTTCACAAAAAAATGTGTGTCTTAAAAAGATAAATCAGATCATTGAGAAAAACCATCTTTTAAATTTAAAAAAAAAAAAAAAAGCCTATTTTGTAACACTAGGAAAAAATGTACCACAGAAAATGCACCAATACTGAAGCTGTTATTTCAATGTTTGGTCTTAATCCATCTTTTGTGTTTTCACTGCTTCTTGCTTAACAATGTCCAGAGCCTTCCAGGTGAAACTCAAGTGCCTGCTTGGAGTCCTGAAGAGAATTCTTGAGGGAAAACACTGGTTTTAGCAAGAAATACTATGGAGTCAAATGGCCTAGACTTCACTTTAAAAGAAGAAAAAATGGAAGCTTTTAATTTCAGAACAACTGCTAGTATACAACAAACTTTTATTTTTCATTCATAAAAACAATTTACAGCATTCATAAAACAAAGTGGCTAGAGAACAAAGAGAGCCCTGTTAGATGGTTCTTTTGTGTAAGAATGGATGGGATAAGTGGGCAGCAGTTACTACTGATAGAAACAAACATCCACATAAAACCAGGGCCGGAATGGGAGTCGGGGCAAGATACACCAACCAAAGTAAAGTCAGCAAACCTTTCATGCATATAACTCAACATTTAAATTCTCCTTACTTAAAAACCAAATGGGTGCTTTAATAGGTCTTTGTACGGAGGACATAAAAATCTTGAAAAAGGGTAGCTTTACATATCATACACACACACACACACTCTCTCTCTCTCTCTCTCTCTCTCTCTCTCTCTCTCTCTCTCTCACACACACACACACACACACACACACACACACACAAAGATGGGGACAGAGAGATGGGCGAGAAAAAGAAAAATTAATAAATGCCCAGGCAGGCTCTTACAACAAATATTCTTATATAAACACACACAGAAAAATAACTCTTACAGCTTAGCTTTGAGATCAACACCTTGAGCTCTAACTTGGGTGTACCCTAACCCACACTCTTTTCAGCATGAACACACACAAGTTATATGGTGAGGAATTCCATAGAAAAAAAATCACAAGTTTCATTTTATATATACAACAAATTTTTAATTATGTACTGAAAATAAATTACAGGAAATAACTTTAAAATGCAACAGAGGACAAGTCACAATAAAACATTCCCATTGAATTCCCTTGGGGTGAGATTGCAGTGCTCAAGGAAGATAAATATCACAAATATATCAAAACTTCAAATTGTCTATGCATTCACACACTGACATGAGCCACAAACATTCCTTTCACAGGGACTGTACTTATTAGCCTACCACAGAACCAGATTTTGCCATAAACTACAAAACTTTTAATACAAAATTGTATTTATATATTTATAATTCATATACATGCCCTACCTGTGAATTTTAGAAAATAAAAGCTACACACTGTACAGACACTCTTAACTCATAGCTGTAGGCAACATTTTTGGATGGCATTTCTCCCCCAATACAATTAACGGCATATTTTATGTACATGAAGGCTAAACTGCAAAAGGACAGTTAAGTTTCCCAGATATGCATCTCCCTTCAGGGCAGGTTTACAAACTTTAAAAGGCAAGACAAATGTACACCTCAGAATTACCTTCTCAGCTATAAGAGTTGTCATGTGATTTCTGTGACATTTCTGATACATGCATTTATGTAATACTGGCATTGAAGGCAGTAAAGCAATATACACTTTTAATGTAGTGGCTCAATAAAGGCTTCATTGTCATTCTGATCTGATTCTTGATACAGTGATTCATAAATTCTCTAAAAATTAAAATTTCAATGGGACACTATATTAAAGAGACTCTAAATAGATTTCTTAAAATATTTCCCTGAAATATCCTTTTACATAAGACAAATTTCACTAACATTAGATTCCGTAAAAAGAAAGAAAAGAATTAAACATGGCACAAATGTGCATGATAAACTAATGCTCCTCGGCCATCTCCAGGTCTAAGGAGACATCAGAAGAAGGCTGGAAACCAACCAGCCATGTTCACACTCTGTGGCAGCCATCTGTGAAGCCAGTTACACTAACCTACTTCTACAGTTGATTGTAAACTTTGGTTTATTTTTATTTGAGTTCTCATTGTACAGCAAGCATGAAAAAAGGGAGAGTGGAGTCCATGAGGAGATGAACTGTCAGTCTGTCTTTAATCGGGCATGATGAGACACCTGGTCAGTCAGGCCTGCTTTGATAGAGTTTGTTACAGACTGCCTTATGTTTTCCTCCATCAAATTATCACCCAGGGGCTTCAATACCTGTGGTATGAGAAATGTGCAAAACAAACAAAAACATGAGGTAAAAAAAGAGTACATATAAAAACAGATATAAAAAAGTCAATTCAAATCAATGACAAAAATAACCAGGAATGTGAGAAATAAAAGGATGCTTCTCCCAAAAAAAAAAAAAAAAGTTACGATGCTACAAACAATGCAGTTAGACATCTGATAATGCAACAAAATGACTACTTTCCTCTTACTCAAACCCTTTACAAATCCTATGAGACGGATGTGCAATCCATACCCTCTATGCAGCATCAAATCTGGTATGTATACAGCATTTATGCAGACCGGCCCAGACGGTCCTGCTTATTGTCCTACATGTATAAGTGTGAACACTTCAGAGAGAGAGAAAGTTAAAAATACTGTCTAAGTTTTCTTCTTGTTATTGTTGGATGACAGTCTCTGTCGCTGTGCTGAAGAAAGAGCACGGTGGACCATTCGACGTCTAGTAACTTCAAACAGTTTGGAAAACACCTAAAACATGGAGTGACGTGTTAGGAGAGTAACTCAGAGTGCCTTGAAGCTAGAGTTAAAGACTAGAAGAATTTCAGACTTGGTAGGTTTCTCACCTTCCTGGGACTCCTCTGAAGCAAAGGAAAAGAGAAATGCAAAGAAATTTTAGACAAGGCCTGGAGAACACAGCTCAAGTCTTCTCTGACTAGGGGTCGTGACCTGTGGCTCCTAGCTCACTATACTACACTGAAAATCACTTGACACACCTGAGATTCTCCCGGGAAATGTTCTATGAAAATGGCACCTATGAAGTCCTACAATCAATGTTAACAGAAAGCGTTTCAGAAGACACTGCATCAGTATTGAAATGGAGGTGGTAGAAGACTAGTACTGGATCAAAGACTTAAAGCAGATCATTTTTAAAGCAGTCACGTGGTGATAATTCTTAATCCATCTTCTATTAGAAAATATCAAAAGACAACAAAGCAGTAAGACTGATTTTAAAAGATAAAATTTTGAACTAAACAAAATGTCCCAACACAAACTCCAAAAGAGATCTTAATACATAAGAGTAATTTCTGAAAGAGAAAAGTCCAAATTAATAGAGTCAGTTTATACCAGTGGTTCTCAACCTGTAGCTAGAGATCTCCTTTGCAAACTCCTATCTCCAAAAATATTTACATTACGACTCGTAACAGCAGCAAAATCACAGCTGTGAAGCAGCAAAGAGAGTACGTTTCTGGTGGGGGGCCAGCATGAACTGTACTAAAGGCCGCAGCATCAGCGAGGCTGAGAACCTCTGGTGTATACAGTCATGATGATATTATTGTAAGAAAAGTCAGTAACTATCACTTCTCTTCAGAAAACATGGTGGACTCCTTCAGCCTTTGAACTGAAAGCTAACTGAACATGAACCCGTGCATCCTAGCCCAGGGCCTCACTGACCCAGAAACGACATGGAAACACCTCTCCTATTGCTCAGCAGTAATCACCTCAGCTTTCATTCTGCTCCTCGGAAGGATGAGATGATGTCTGCGTACTTAATGAAGATATTTTAACAACCACCACAGAGAAATTCCTATACCCAAGTACCAGGTGGACTATATAAAACATCTTTCCTTAGTAGAGCATTGCTGAGCAAGCACTCAGCGAGCTCATGTGAAAGACAACTCATGTGGCCTCTGTCTGTGGTACTCTGCTCTGTCCACTCTCTCTCTCTTCCTCTGGACAATCTCTGTGGCACTACTCCTTGGAGGGCTGCAGTAAATTGTCACCATCTTCACAGAAGACATGAAGACCTAACATCCACTATTTCTCCTACACTGTTTCTTGCTAATACTGGTTAGAAGAAATTGCATTTTCTTCCCCAAAGCACTGACTGTACTTCCAAACTTCCTTTCCTTACCTTTAAAAGTGCTCATTGACAGTATTTTCTTTTCTCAAAGAAAACTATTATAAGTAAATCTAGTCACCCTGCAAACTGTCTGGCATAATCATCAGACTTATTACTAAGAATCAACCAAAAAAATTACAGATTGAAGCTAACCAAAGTAAACTATAATTATGAATAGAGAAACAAACCTTTAACTAAATGAGATTCTACATTTAAAACAAAATCAAAACAACAACAAAAGCCCATGCTCTCGCCATCTTCATAGAGGAAAAGCAGGTACACAAATAAGGTAGGAAGTGGGAGCTGGAAATCACACACAAGTAAGATTAGTCACTGCAAAACCGAAAGAGAGATACCAACCTGTTCCCAGAGTGTTTCAGCAATCTGATCAATCATTGTTCCAATTTCTCTGAACTCCCCAGAGTACTTAACATACGCCCACGTGCACAGGGACGTCAGTGCTAGCCCCATGACGAGGTTACATAGGACGGCTATAGAGTTTAGGCCAATGAAGCCGGTCAGTCCTGAGATTATGTACATAGCAAACATGACCGCAAACAGGGTGGCGGGGGTGCGAGCAGCATAGAAGATATTTTTGCCATCATTGTGCTTTATAAAATTTGCATAGGTGTCTTCGATCTCAGCTTCCAGCTGGTCCTGGTAGCGACGGCAGAACTCGTCTCCGCCCATCTTCTTCACAGAACGGAACTGTTTCAGCGCCGCCTCCTTGAGGTCCAGGTGTTTTCGCTCCAGATCCGAAGGTGCGATGTAAGGCTTATCACCACCACATACCTGCACAAGCCGGAGTCAAAGGCGATTACATGCCAGAAGCAACCCCTGGGAGGCGTGCCCTGCTCACACATTTAGTCTCATCAAATGAAACCACTACAGGCTCGGTTTTACACTTGAGCATACTAACTCCTAAGCAGTCAGATCCTATGCTTTCATGTTTAACTGCCTCAATCAAGGAACCTTCCGTGGGACGGAGGCACCGGGACGGAAGACACAGCGGTGACCTGCTCCCCGCCTCCTCTCTATCACTAGGAAACCACCGCAGCACTGAAGAACACACAGCACACAGTATTTCAGAGCTGAGCGAGATTAGTGCAGAGACTGCTGCTGCTGCTGGTCTTAGGCTCCAGTCACTTCTCCCGCCATGGGCTAAGAGTAACACTGTTATTTAATCCCACTATTAAAAGTGGAGTTCCTGTATCCTGTACACTAGCTAGCCAGGTGACTTACTTTCCAACAGCTTATGCCAGCAGAGATCACAAAGAACAATGACAGATTAAGGTAGCACGACAATATGTAAGGAGCACAAATTCAATTACTTTAAATATGGAGTATCTTCTACTCTTACCTAGCATGAAGCTTAACAAGAGTTACAAACCTGCTCCATACTTTTACAATAGATGTCTCTTGCTCCTGCTACTGCAGCAAGGTTATTAGCCTCAGCTGTTGCCTAAAAGATAAAAATTGAATATACCATTACTGTGGGAAAAAAGTACCCTGTGACTGTAAATTCCTATTAACATAATAGATTATATACAACAAATAATTCTGAAAATGAACAGAAAAATACCAATCTCTAGTTTTAATTTCCTTTGGAAGTATGTATCAGTATAAAGGATATGAAAAAGGCTTAATAGGACTCTTTGTCTGATTGCGATTTAAGGGAGTTTGTACTAAAATGGGTTTGTAGATGATATATATCACATGTGCTCAAAAAACAGACAGAGGTAAACAGACGTAATCCCAAAATGTGCTGAGTCCCCGGGAATCAAAAATTCCTTGTATGAACAACCACATTCACACAAGAGTCACTTTTAAATACACAAGCTGTTGTGTATTTAAATTGTTGTTGGGTTTTTTTTTTCCATGAGCTTTAATATAAATACTGTTAATCCACTATACAACTGAGGAATTGCCCCAAGTGGCAAATTTTAAAACATAGAAAGTGTTTACAAATAACAGTGCCCCAAAAGAACACATACACACACACAGAGAGTCTACCTGCACTAGAAAAAGCTCATTACTAGCAAATGAAACTAATTCTTATATCAAGCAGCATCCCTTCATCAAAGACTCAGGGCAAAAGCATTTAGTTCAGAGGGATAAACCACTTACACAACATAATTTTTGTAGCTTTCAGTACCTGCAGACAAAGTAGCAAGGCTCCCATTTCTAATAGTCAATGCATGCTCAGGGTCTGCCATTTGCAGTTACAAAACAAACAAGAACAAAAACCTTATACAAACCTTAGAGTTCATGTTATCTTAAGTACATATAATCTATTTGTATGCAATAAAGCTCTTGTCCTTCCACTTTCCGTATCCCTCTAAAGCCATGATTTTAATTCTCCCTCAATCATATACAGCCACACCGTATATAACCACACCACCCCCACCCACTTTCTCTTACCTGAAGCATAGACTTTGGATGTGGTAGTTCCTCTCCTTGATATATTTTAATGTATGCCTTAAAAGATACAATATTCATTGTATTGGTATAAAATGCAATTTGATACTATGTCCCCAAAGACATATTAAATATAATAGTTCACACCACCAAAATGAAGTTCTTGGCCTTAAAACTCATACTTGTAGTAGAACAAAGTTAATCCTGTTCTGAATATTATCACATAGGAATGTTGCCAAATAAACTCTACAGAAATGTTTCTAATTACAACTTGTCTGAAGTTGTACCTCACATTTAAGAATTTTGTGTGTAAAAGATCATCCATTATATAAAAAGGTATCTCTCCTACTGTCAATGTTTCAACTAAACGTTAGAAAACACTTTAATCCATCATTTTACTTTAAATATTTTAACTCAAAGGAAAAAGAAATCCTAATTTGTAGTCAAAGCATAAGAAATAGCTCTGGGCTTAAAAAAACATACATGAAGTTTCAAGGGAAAGTGGGGGTGGGGCTAGAGGCTGAGCTGCAGGGAGGGAATGGACTATGGATTTAACAAACACACATTACACACAAGGATAAAATTCTCAAACAAAAAGAGAGGGAAAGAGTAAGGAAGACAAGTTTATGGCATTCAAATAGGAGTCTTCACCTCAACTTTCTACTGCCTCAAACTTATTTCATAATTAAACAAGGATTGTGATAAGCATCTACATTCACTTCATTAGCTGTATTTCTCACCCATCTTCCTACAACTACTATTAATTCATTGTGTGATCAACATGTTCTAACAGGAAAAAGATCTCCACAAGTAACTTATTTAGACTCAAAAACTAGAATTGATACTTTTAACTACTCTTGCTAGTTCTCCAAACTCTAAGGGAAGATTTCTGTGAGAATGCGGGATATAAAATTATGCAGCCAATTCCAGGTATCACTCAAAATAACAGAGCTGTGTTACAATATGATGAATGGCTCTTCTCTCCACATCAGGGGTGCAGAAGAGGAAGGATAACTCTGAGAACAAAGAGTATCACTAAAGAGAAGACACAGTGTACTGTAACCTTCTTTTAAAGAAGATTTATCGTTTACTTGTGTGTGTGTCTGTCCCATGTGCACACACTTCTGTGAGTATCTATGTGCATATGAGTCTGGGTGTATACACACACAACCTCTATGATTCATGACTTTTTTTCCTATTTTCTCACTGAGCTGGTAGCCAGCAGCCAGCAGCCAGCAAGCCCTATCCAGCCTACTGTCCCCACCCTCTCAAAGCTGGTCACAAACGTGTGTGATGGCCAGCTCTTCACATGGTGTCTAGGATGCGAACTCTGGTCCTCATGATTATGCAAGTACTCTTAACAACTGGACCATCTCTCCAGACCCTGATACCTCCTTAATGTTGATACAATGAATTCAAAGCAGAAAAATATACATTTTTTTTGCTTGAAAGTACATTTCTTATACATAAAGATGTTTTAAAAGTTAACTACATTTCTTTTTTAGACAGAGCCATTTAGCTCAGAGTTCACTTACCTTAAAATACTCTACAAGATCTCTACAAGTGACTTTAGAGCCACTTATCTCTTTCTCAACCAGATTTTCAGGAGCAAGCAGCAATGGGACCAGATTCCGAAGCTCCCGTTTAAAGTCTTCATCGATATCTGATGGACATGAAATTAGCCAACATTAGTCCAAAAACAAGTCCTCACTGACAGAACCATGAAATTCTGGTTATGAAGAGTACATAGCATCTATTACTTAAGTTTATTCTTTTTTCTAAAAAATTTATCTAAATATGCCATGTCTCCTACAAGAAAAAATCCCTATTACTCTACTATCCCATTCCTCCCATTTCCCCATAATCCTTCCAGCTCAAATGGTGACTTTCAAAACAAATTCTACAGTAACTGAAGTATCTTCTTCAAAAAGAGCAAATCATACAGGCTACTATACTACATTTCTGTATTAGACTGGTTTTGTAGCTACAGTATAAATCATATCTATTTCAACTCGTCTGTCATCACACTTAGAATAATCCTGAAATCACACACAGCTCTGAGTCTATCAACTCAAGAAGACAGTGAAACTTTTTTAGCAGACTGCAATCAGGGTAAGTTGTGAAATGCTCTTAGCAAGAGCACATCATAAAATGGGTCAATCAGGCCGGGCAGTGGTGGCGCACGCCTTTAATCCCAGCACTCGGCAGGCAGAGGCAGGCGGATCTCTGTGAGTTCGAGGCCAGCCTGGGCTACAGAGTGAGTTCCAGGACAGGCTCCAAAGCTACACAGAGAAACTCTGTCTCGAAAAACCAAAAAAATGGAAGAAAAAAAAAAAGGGCTAATCAGTATGCTGAAGAGCAGCAAAGCAACCACAGGCGGGCTAGACCCAACACAAGAGAACACTGCATTACACAGCTGTCACTAGAATAGAACACTTAAGGAAACATTTACAGGCAGCTAAGCAATGATCAGAACTAGTCTTCCCCATGGAGGAGCAAACCAAGTGGTTATCCCTACCAAATGGTCAGCCCTGAAAACATACATATGATTTAACATTATACAGACTGAGCAGTTATACTTAGAAACAGACATGTATATACATACATACATATGCATGAACAACAATGAAAAAGAGAAATGAATTTGAAAGAGAGCAAGGATGGGTATATGGGAGGGTTTGAAGAAGGAGAGGGAAGGGAGAAATGTCGTAATCACATTATAATCTCAAAAATAAAAACAAAATATAATACAAACTTTCAGCTGCTACCACTGATAAATAAGGTTAGCATGCGTGGGAATCCCCACCTTTCAGCCGTCCATCAAAGCTAGGATTCGTTGCGACTTTAAGACCAGGATGTGGTAGAAGGAAGCAGCCCAGATTGGAGAAACAATTGTGAATGTGCTTCCTGACATTCTGGAGTTCTTCATGCTGGTTCTGTTTTACCTGAGAGAAAAAATAAAGAGTAAAGTGGTAAAGAGATTTTTTTTTTTTAAATTTTAAAAAGGACACACATACATACCCACATACATACATACCACACTCACGCTACTCTGGAGGGGCACTTTTGTTTATTGCTACTAAAAGTTTATTTCTGGTCGCTTTTATCAACTTGAAAGGCATTTTTAGAGAAAGCTGTCTGATGTTCCAAAACATTCAAACAATTAATTATAGTATCTAATACATGAATAACAAGTTGTGATTATGACTTAGAAACTAATAAAGGATTTGCCTTTAAAGTGCTTATGTCAAAATAACAGTAAACAAACTGAAGCCAAAAAAAAGCAAAATATTAATTTACCTAAAATTAAAAGACAGCCACTAGCAAAATATAAAGTACAGTCCAAAAGCTGCAGTGTAGGGCTGGAAAGATGTCTCAATGGTCAAGAGCATACATTGCTACTGCAGGGTACCAGTTTGGTTCCCAGCACGCACATCAGGAAGTTCACAACTGCCTGTAACTCCAACTCCAGGGGCATCCAACACTTCCGGCCTCCAAGTGCACGGTACTCCCATGAACACATTGACACAGATATACAAACTCACACACAACACTTTTATTACATTATATATTTGTGTGTGTGTGTGTGTGTGTGTGCGTGCGCGCACGCGCACCTGCATATAGGGATGGGGAGAGCACATGCATGCTAAGGCACACATGCAGAGGTCAACCTTCAAGAATTATTCTCTCCTTCTACTATATGGGTCCTAGTAGATGGAACTGAGGTCACTGGGTTTAGTCTTTACCTGATGAACCATCTTACCAGCCCATGAAAGAAAGTCCTAAACTTTAATAAATAAATAAACTTAAATAAATAAATAATTTTAAATGATTGCTAGCATGTCTAGATTTGGAGGTTTTTTAGACAGGGTCCCACTATGTAACCCTGGCTGGCCTGGAACCTTCTACACAGACCAGGCTGGCCTTGAACTCCTAAACGGTCCACCTGCCGCCTCTGCCTCCTCAGTGCTCAGTCACCACTCCCTGACTGCATGCTGAGATATTAATTAACTCATGCCTTCTCCCAAATAGTCTTCTAAAAGGCCATTCTAACAAAACATGCACTGGTCATAACTACAACCTGGAAACTACCCAAATCTCCATCGACAGAATGAAAGGCAGTTGTTACCAGTGTACACTGTATAGTAACAAGAATGAACTAATAGGTAAGCGGGTCTCTGTGAGCCTTTTCATACTTCGTATGAAGTACAAAAACAAAACCTGTTAAGTGATAGACAGAGGTTTTCAGGGGGGTAAGCATATGGAATTGGGTGTTTCTGGGCACAAGTTATACATCTACGCTCATTTTACAAACTCATCAAGCTGCATAATTAAAATATGAGCAGTCTTGTGACTGGATGTATCACCATAATAACTTTAAGACCTTGTCTTTGAATTATATACTTCAGAGTCTAGTTAGTATGACTAATACATTATATGTTGCTTTCTTCTAAATAACCTGAAAAAATAAACCTGATAAATTACCTCTCAGGTCTGAAAATGCCTTCCAAATAATCTAAGAGTAAGTAATTTTATTTATTTATTTATTTATTTATTTATTTATTTATTTTGCTTTTCGAGACAGAGTAATTTTATTCTATTTATTTATTCATTTATTCATTTATTCATTTATTTATTTATTTTGCTTTTCGAGACAGGGTTTCTCTGTGTAGCTTTAGAGCCTGTCCTGGAACTCACTCTGTAGCCAAGGCTGGCCTCGAACTCACAGAGATCCGCTTGCCTCTGCCTCCCGAGTGCTGGGATTAAAGGCGTGCGCCACCACCACCTGGCTAACCTAATTTTAGAAATAAGAAAATCATACTGTGCCAAGTGTTTGAATGCAGTTGAGAAATGAAATGTACCATGCCACACACAAAATCTTCTGATAATAAAAGATCATAATAGTAAAACAATTATCATTTATTATATATAATAAAATAATTATCATTTTGTTATATATAATAAAATAATTATCATTTTGTTATACATATATTTTTTTATTTTACTATAATAAACACATAGTAAAAGGATTTCTCTCCACTGTCTTCTGGATGTGGAGATGGAGTGTAGAACGTGTACCTGAGTAGTCTCACAGGAAAGTGCCTTTAAGGATAAAGGAGCATGACCTTGTCATGAGGTCCTTTTCCAGGAATACTTCCGTGAAACATAGTGCACAGGAATGAGGATATCTGAATTCTTTAAAAGGCCTAGATGGTTTACCAGGAAAAGAAGCCGCCATGCAAGCCTGATGACCTCAGCAGGGTATCAAGAATCCATGTCAATGTAGAAGGAGAGAAACAATCACACAAAGCTGTTTTCTGAGCCAGGCGGTGGTGGCGCATGCCTTTAATACCAGCACTCAGGAGGCAGAGGCAGGCGAATCTCTATGAGTTCGAGGCCAGCCTGGGCTACAGAGTGAGTTCCAGGAAAGGCACAAAGCTACACAGAGAAACTCTGTCTCAGGGGGGGAAAAAAAATCCTTTAACAAACAAAGTTGTTGTCTGACCTGAACACATATGCTATGACATGTACACATCCAGACATCATCATCATCATCATCATAATAGTCTCCTTCAAAAACATCAGTCTTTGAATATTTACTGGTAGGTAGTTCACTCGAGAGAGGAATAATTGTTTCTTAATTTTGATTTAATAGAGTATCTTCTTTGGCAACTGTTCACCACTTACACAGCATTGTTTGACCAGGACAATTCATTTACCACCACGACAGTAACTGGTAATGTCAGGCAGTCCAGGAAGCCCGCTCCTTTGCCTGGCCTGAAGCATATACTTTCTCTCCAGGAAATGGGGCTTACCTGCAATCTTTTTTCAAGAAATTGTTTTCCACCTTCCAAACCATACGAATGTTCATAAGGATAACTCCAATCCCGAATCAGAAACATTAACGTCTACATACAGAAGAAAATACAAATCACTTCTTACAAAACTCTAAGTTTACTGAAAACTTCCTTTATATAAATAACTCAGTAGGCAGAACACATGACTGCCATTCTTGAGGTCCTGGGTCCAATCCCCAGCACCAAAGTTGTAAAAACAAAAAAAGGTGACCATAACCAGATGGTTAGTACACTCTTCATGGTTACAGTCAATGGCCCACCTAAAGCAACTTCCCAACCCTTGCACCAACTAATCATCTCCACTTGAGACACTCACTCCATGTAAAGAGTCATATGAACAGCAGGTATATCAGAGAATTTAGATCATAATTCTAAATCAGTCTGTATAACTAGAACTACTTCGAGATGGCTAAGTCTACACTGGTTACAGACTTTAATTTGCTATTAAAGAGATCATTTTCACAAATGTTTTACCCATACAAAGTTCCATTTCTTCACACTACCAATTTGACCCATATAATTACTTGTACAATGCTGCCCTTTGCGTAATAGTAAAGTATTTCTGGCCTCTACATTACAAGCCAGTAGCATTAACCTCCCCTCAAAGCTGTGACAGTCAAAATATTCCCAGACACTGGCAAATGTCTCCTAGGTGGATAAATATCCAAATGTATTTGTATATTTCATCAATATGTACAAAACAAATAGTTTCATAAAAGTGATTGCCTAAAACAGAAGTGCCAGATAAAAATGAGGCAAAATCCATGTAAACCCACTAACATGATCACACAGGAAGAAGCCCACACACCTGCAGGCAGACACAGTGCTCCTTCTCTCCCGCTCACTGCAGTCAACAGTACGGATAGCAGCTTGCAAGCTAGCTCAAAAAAACATACCACCCAAACTCTTCCACATGACACGAAGACTAGCAGGGAGACGGACTTCAACTTGGACTACATCACAAAAAAGGAAACCTCTAACACTTTCTAATAGTTTATCAGGTGTAAAACAAATCTGACACACTGTCTTAACTTCTCTACTGTCTTAAGTTCTGGAGTTAATGACGTCCAGTTAGGAGGTGTATCCTCCCCCAAGTAAAGTACTGCAAAGTAATCCAGTCATTCCTTGTTTCCTGTCCTGTTGGGCTTCAACTACTATCAAGCTGATGACGATATGCCAATAGTTTGTTTTAACTCTGGTGCGAAATGAGTTTGTAATGTCCTTGGGGCTTGAAGCTTCTCACCAGTACATTTTTAAAGTGCTAGAACACCTCCTTACCTGAAATGGTTTCTGGTAGATCTCTTCCATTGCAAGTCTTCCATACTCTGTAAATAACTATCAAACCAAGTTATTTAAAATAATGCTGCCAGAGAGCCTGAAAGAAGTCATTTCTAACATTGTTTATATCAGACTAGTAGATGTCAGCATCTTTATTCTTATCTGAAAGTCAGGCATTTTACTGGCCAATGAATCGAGTATATCAGAAATGTCCTCTAGTCAAGCAATCAACCGTTTCTTTAAAGCCATACAAAATTCAAAAATATTACAGACTTCTAAACATGAATTTACAGTAAAGAAAGAAGTAAGTTTTAATACTTTGGCATATATTCTCTAAGACATACTTGTAAGTGTTGAAGATCATCTTCTTGAATATTCTGGGATAAATTATATACCTGTTAAAACAAAATGTCTTCTGTTTTTATCAATGTTTTAATGAGTATAAAATCCCTTATAATTAGGAAGGTTATTTTAGCCCTCAGCACAAATTAATCACTTAGCCACTATTTTTTTTTTCTCCCGGAGCTGAGGACCGAATCCAGGGCCTTGTGCTTGCTAGGCAAGCGCTCTACCACTGAGCTAAATCCCTAACCCCCTTAGCCACTCTTTAAAGCAGTGGTATATTGAAAGCATTTCTTATTAAGAAAGAGCAGTAAATTCGTGAGTGTAGACACACTCATGGGGGGAGGGAAAGACTGTGTCACTCATTGTCTAAGTTGGTAAATGTGAGGGGCAAAAGTTTTAGAAAAATGTGTTTCTTCTTGGTACAGAATAAATATTCATTCTGTAGGTTCTGGGTTTTTGGTTGTTTGGTTCTGTTCTGGGTTTTTAAAAAGGATTCTCTACTTAGTCCAGACTGACGTCAAACTTTTCTACTTCTCCTGTGCCTGCCTCCCATGTGCTAAGATTTCAGCGTGCTGCAATTATTGGCACGCATCCTCACACATGGCATGTCTCTTCTTACTTGAACTGATGAGCCTAAGCAACATGGACTTTTCACCAGGCCACAGAAACCAGTAAAAGCAGCAGTAGGTGGCACTATTGCCCTTTTTAGAATGTTTTGGAGGCTTTCCCAGACAGAGCAGAACGGGTAGTGGCTGCTCTCTGTTCTCAGAGGATACCCTGGAGAGGGGGCGTTAGGTCCAGTCCTTTCGTGACAGACAGACGTTAGAAAGAACCAGGGCTAGTACTGCAGCAACACCTGCAGACACAAGCTCTGAGGCAGAACTCAGCATCAGTAAATGTGGTCGCTCCAGGGAGAACAATTTGTTCTAACAACCAATCGGTGATAATCTAGGTAAACTTGAGAGGTCAAGAGTGAACACCAAATGGGGATGCTTAGTCACTGGTTAATCCCAGCAAGGTATCTAAAATACAAAGAGCTAACAACATAACCAATTTATTCTTATCCATGTGGGCCTAAACTTTTAGAACACTGTAAGGCGTAGACTGTAAGAACAAAGAGAGATTGGCACCAGTTATCTATCTTAAATCATTGGGTATACTTAGTATACTGCCTTGTACTCAGTAAGTCCTAAGAATCTGTTGAAAAAGTAAACACGATCAATTGTCATCCATCTACCAGCCCAAAAGAAAAAAATATTTTCACCTCTTGCTATGTAGCCCAGGATGGCCCCTAATTAGCTCTTGTTACATAGCTCATGAGCTCCTAACTCAGCTCCCCAAGTGCTGAGGTTACAGAAGTGAACCACCATGGCTGGAAGCCACAAGTTAATTAAGGAAGAAAACAACCTTCCAAAGGCCTATAGTTCAGTGGGAGAGTGTTTGCTGGCATACACCACAATTCAATCTCCATTACTATCCCCCATCTCACACACACACACACACACACACACAAATAAAATATACGTTTTATTATATGCATCCGCTCATTTAGATCTCATCTCTTATAATACACAACTGCACAGGAGATAGGCAGGATAAGTAAAATCCTCATTCTATATAGTCAAGAAAATGAGTTGTGTAAGTTGTCCAAAACCAAATCTCCTACCATCAAAAAGTTCTAGAAACCAAGGAATAGCAACAGACAAAGTTTGGGATAGAGAGCTCCTTCATTATAATGTAAACAAGGCAAGCCCTAGCTAGCATCATCTAACTGAGGAGCTAAAACGTGAAATACAACTAGAAAAAGATGGCTTCTGCTGCCTCTCAGGATCTACAGAGAAAAAAGAACAAAAACGCAGGATTTCTGAGGGTCGTCAGGAGTATGGCTGAGTGAGTGGTGACAGATCCTTGGCTCTAACAGGAACGAGGCTGAAAAGAACCCCTCTTTGCATACAGTAATACCCAGTCTTCTTCCCACTCAGGTGCTTTAAGTTGTGAAAAAAGGGGGCGGAGATTCAACAGACAGCTGATGTTTCAGACACTACCAGAATCACAAAGTTCTAAGACATGTGACAGTGTTGGCTATGAACTACCACAGGAAGGACAACTTAGCGTATTCAGACACCTTCCTGATATACTATCCCCAGCAGGATTTGAGAGACCATACTTCAATCATTATTTTTGAGCCAGGGAGTTATCAACCACAAATGATTCCAAAAAAGAAAAGGAACACAATCTGATACATGTCAACTTAACACTCTAAATTATACAGAGGTCATCTAGCTGAACAGGGGGGACTTGGGAGAACAAGCACAATTAGAGTGTGAGTGATACACAGGGGACGTATCCCCTTCTAAACCAAAGCGGTGCTGTCAATTTCTAACTATCATCTGAATTTCTAAATTCAATATTAATTCTTGCTGGGCAGTGGTGCGCACACCTTTAATCCCAGCACTCAGGAGGCAGAGGCAGGAATGTCTCTGAGTTCAAGGCCAGCCTGGTCTACAAAGTGAGTTCCAGGATAGCCAGGGCTACACAGAGAAACCTGTCTTGAAAAACCTAAATAAATAAATATTAATTCTTACATTTTTATTTCCTTTAGTTCAAATAATCAAGAACTGTCAAAGATACCAAATAGAAAACTAGGTTGCTATTTAATTATTTGGTGTTTTGTTTTGGTTAAGGAGTCATACAATTGATTTTAATTACAGTTATTACCCAGTAACTTTTCCTATAAAGATTTATTTTTATTTTATGTGGACGAGTGTTTGTCTGAATATATGTATGTACACCATATGCACGCCAGGCATCCATGGAGGCCAAGAGAGAACTTTTCCATCAAAAAGAGAACTGCACAAGCTCAGACCAGACAGAATCCCAGCAGAGAGGGGAGCAAGACAGCAAGTTCCACCTCTAGCTGAAGGGCTCCTGACATGGCAGCTCCTGGAAGAAGAGTCAGTTCTCGTTAAGGGTGTGGCCTCTGACAGGTTAGCCAAGCTGAGTGGATGGACACACACCCAAACTGGACAGGATGGTTTGTTGACTTTTTAAATGAAGACACAGTTGGTAGGGAAGTGGGGATGATCTGGGAAGAGCTGGGAGAAGGGAGTAAATATGATCACTGAATTCTCCAAGAGCTAATAAAAAACTGGTTCTATGATGATAAAAAATAAAGCAAAGGTGACTCACTTCACCCTTTATATTTAATTTTACACCATGAGCCAGAAAAGCGCACACAGAAATGTAAGTAACTAATAAGAAGCACAAGTCGCTCTAACTTCTAACCCATTTCCTTCCGTGAAAAGCACTTGCGGAGGTCGTGCGAAGGTGGTTAGAAGAGCTGGTGACGGCGCACGTCCTCACCTGGACAGAGCTAGTCATCGTGCTCAGAGCAAACACTGTCGCACAGTCCTTAATGGTTGACTGGCTATCAAAGGCACCCTGGGTATCCATTAGCAGCACAGCCACCTAGGAATGGGTAAGTTTAAAATACTTAGTAAAACGGTCACCAAAAATGCCTACAAAAATCAAACATTAAGTGATAAAGTTCAAAAGTAATTAAATCAAGAAAAGTATTTATATATCATACATTTTAACACCCTAGTCATTAAAGCACCTGACATTAATCGTTTTGTTGTTTTAAATTTTAATACCAGAAAATTGCTCATGAAAACATACAGGAGGAAATAGAAAGTATAAATGGAATTTTACTTTCGTTCCATTAGGTCTATCAATCACAAAGACTTCATTCCAGACTTGTATGCCTGTGGTTTCTCTTTCACAACCACCTCGCCATGTGAAGCCAGTCAATGGTTCATTGTTTCCACCAATCCAACTTTGAGAGTCCTGTTAAAATCAAGGATAAATGTAAAATAAACACACCCAAATTAGGAACTGTAAAACTTTTAAATCACCCATTCCACATTCTACAGAGGAGAAGCCTACATCCAAAGAGATAAACACCGCCGTCTAGCATCACGCCAACAGTCCAGTCCTGTGTGGAGCGCTGGTCTCCTCCAACCAGCCCTGTCAAACCATCTGAGCTTCCGCTCTTGACTTCTAGGTGAGTGGGAGTACACACACCCACTCTTACCCTTTGGGGAAGCTCTTCTATGTTTAAAGATTATAAAATATAGGAACCAGCTATTTTAATATCTTGTACAGAACTGTAAAACCAAGTTCCAGACAGCAGGACTGTCAAAACAGTAGCCCTCTCCTAGAATAGTATATACAAAACACTTCACACTGCTGGGACTGTCCTTTAAAAATAACCAAGACTTGTTTGGAACCTGACTCTAGCAATCTGGTTTAGGGGGAAAAAGCCTTTTTATGAAACAAACAGACATCTGGACCCAAATAAACTGTCCTCCCTATGAGATGTGCTAAATGGGCATCAACAACTTTCTTTTGTTTTATTTAAAATATTTTTCTCATACACTATATTCTAATCATGGTTTCTCTTCCCCAGTCTCCTCCTAGATCCTCTCCACCTCCCACCCATCCAACTCCATGCCTTCTTTCTCTCTTTAGAAAACAGGCACCAGGCGGTGGTGGCACACGCCTTTAATCCCAGCACTCGGGAGGCAGAGCCAGGTGGATCTCTGTGAGTTCGAGGCCAGCCTGGTCTACAGAGTGAGATCCAAGATGGGCACCAAAACTATACAGAGAAACCCTGTCTTGAAAAAACCAAAAAGAAAACAAGCAGGCAAATACAAACTTTAATTTTAAAAAAAAAGAAAATGAAAACTACAGGAAAACACCAGAAATGACATTTTGTGTGCAAGAAAAATATAATTGAGTCTTTATCTATTAGATGCCTAAATATCAGTGATAAAAGGATGTGTCTTCCCGGCAATTGCTTTAAAATAGTCCAGGAAACATACATACATACACACATACACACATACACATACACATACACACACACACACACACACACACACACACACACACACACACACACACACAAAAGGAAAAAGGTAAAACAAGACCACCAAATGTCTATAGGTACAATGGGGTTTATAATAGTATTCTCTTTATGTTGAGGTATGCTTGAGAATTTTTCTGTAATAAAATCTCTGGCTTAATGGTAGAACATCTGCCTAATAAGCCTAAGGTCCTGGGTTTGATCCTCATCACTGGTGTGTGTGTGGGGGAGGGGGGTGTGGGTATGTGGGTGTGGGTGTGTATGGGTGGGTGATGGGGGTGTGTGGGTAATATCTTTTAACTTAAGTCGCAGGGCTACAATGACTATAATCATATAGTATGGAGCCGGAGTATAGTCCAATGAGAGAGCACTTGCCTATAAACATAAGGCCTTGCCTAGGTTCAATGTCCACCACCCTAAATAAATATTATAAATACAAAGTTAGTATACCACAATGTAATATGCTGAGAATGGTAAATATGTGATATAAATGACTAACTCTGCCATATGTCAAGATGCCTACATTTTAAAGTCTACATATCCTTTATTTAAAGCATCTCAAAGAAAATTTTCTTTGTGTCAGAAATCTTTCTTTTTTTCTGAGACAGACTTTCTCCGTGTAGCCTTGGCTGTCCTGGAACTAGTTCTGTACACTAGGCTGGCCTCGAACGCAGAGATTCTCCTGCTTCTGCCTCTCAAGTACTGCAATTTAAGGTGTGTGCCGCCGCCACCCAGTTCTTAAGTATTTCTAATAAACTTGAATCTCTAATCCAAAACAGATTACAAAATGCAAATTAGGGGTGGAGATATATTTAAGACAAGATCAACGGGGGATGTAATTTATGAAAGTACATACAAGGTAGACAAATAAAACACAGCAACACCTAAACATCATATACTGAGAAAACACAGCCTTGAACCTGAATCAGTCCTCCTATTCCACAAAACTCCATTCCCAATAAGCTACCAATGTTATGCATTATAAATTCTCTTGCATTCATTTATTGTCCTCACTTTGCAACACTTTAACTTAGGTCCTCATTTCTGCTGGTTTCAAGAACACTATACCATACAACTCCATTCACGGTATTTCCTGGACTTGTGTTTGTTTCACAAACCACCCTTCACGGGGGTTAGAAAATCAATGATACCCTAGACGAGCATTGGTCTGGCCCCACTCTACAGTTCAGATATTTCAAATTGGACCCTTTGTATCACTTTTTCCGTCCCTTATTTCCACAAGAAATGTCTCTATCTTCTGAAAAGCTTCCTATGGCTTCCATACTACCTGTAAGGCCACCTGGAGATCCGCTGCCTAACAACCCATCTTTCACTTTTCCAGTCTCTGCTCCCAATATTCCACAGATCCCAACACAAACAATACACACACCTTCCTGTCTCTAACACAGCAAAACGATCAGATAACCCCTACATATATATTGTTTAGCTCATCTATACCTTCTCCTGCCTAGACTCAAAACATGTTTTGGCACTGCGGAGGAATGAAATGTCAAATGTAAGAAACTATTGTTCATTCCCCTACAATGTCAAAGTAAGTATCTGACATGGGACAGATTCTTTTTTCCAACATCGAACCTACAAAGATAAGTTCAAAGACTCTGATCTCAGAGAATCTGTTTTTATTCAATGTGCTATCTAGTTTCTCTGTCTCCTAGATGAGAATGTGAAGTTCATGAAAACTCAAGTTCTGCTTCATTCTGCCTGGCTTATAAGGAATCACTAACAACATTAAAAGGATAAAGATTTTTACTTATAAAATTCAATATGCTTTCTTTGGAATATAGGTATCAAGTATAAAAGGAATGTGATTGTTTTATTCCTAGAAATACGGACAAAGACAGTTAAAAAACACATCTTAAAAGCTGACAAAAATCACAGACTTATAACATGCTTGTAAACCCCCATCTTCAAAGACACTAAAGTGAATTAAGTGCCTCACAGAAATTTATCACCATGTATAATCTCTTCTTAGTTCAGTCTGGTAAATACTTTTAAAATGCTAAATTAATTATCTAGTAAAAAAGATAAAGAAAAGTAAATCAAGAATCCTAGATAACCAAATTCTCAAACACATAAAATCTATTATTTCTCTAACATACTGAACACTGAAGGCTTTCAAAAAAATAGTTATAAATTCAGTCAACAAATATTTACTGACCTTTTACCAAATTCTGAACAGTGTTATAAATCTAGAGTGCTCCAAATGAACAAAAACATTCTTGCCTTCGAAGACATTCTAGTGGGTTCTAGAAGCTGTCTTGTTTTTAACAGACCGTATTTCATTCCAAAACTTATTAAAAGCAAACCTAGGAACTCAAAAAGAACTAATCTGATACCATGTGCTACTGTAGAGACAAAACATCTCAAAACTCCTTTCATGATGGTGAGGCTGGAATCTAAGAGCTGTAACTCATCACACACTGCTCACTCTGCGGTGAAAGAGACAAAGGACGGGGAAGGGAGAGAGGGAGAGAGGAGGGAGGGAGGGAGAGAGGAGGGAGGGAGGGAGGGAGAGAGGAGGGAGGGAGGAGATGCTCCCTCACTACAAGGCATTTCCCACAGAAATAATCACAAGCAAAAATCTTAGTCTATGTGAAGCCCATGTTAGCAGACAGAACATGTAGTGTACACACCACTTTATTCACCTACTGCAGTTTAGTATTTCCCAGTGACTATGTGAGAACATGAAGTCCTGGAAGCAATTATAAACATTTCCAACAGTTTGAAACTATTTGTTACCCATGCACCCAACTGTCTCGTGTCCAGGTCCTCTATTCTGGGGCTGGACAAATAGAAATTATGAATGACCCAGGTCACAAATTCAAGACACGAGACAATTCTGGTGACCTGATTACACTGTAAAGAGGAACTTAAGTCAGTCTGCTTTTAAAGGCTCATCATGAAGAGTACCCGTGACCATGAAGACACTCAACATTGTATGATTCCCTACTTCTAAGAGGTGCACAGGGTAGTCAAAAGCAGAAAGAAGAAGGCAGGGCTGCAGAGATGGCTCAGAGGTTAAGAGCACTGGCTGCTCTTCCAGAGGCCCTGAGTTCAATTCCCAGCAACCACATGGTGGCTCACAACCATCTATAGTGGGATCTTCTGGCATGTAGGCGTACATGCAAGTAAAGCACTCATCTACATAAAATACACAAATAAATAAATCCTAAAAAAGGCAAGACCCTACAGGAGGGGGAAGTGGATTAGTACTTTAAAGTTTCTAAACTACAAACCAGAAAGAAGATGGCCACTACAAACAATGTGACTGAACTTCGTGCCACTTGAAAGTGGTTAACACAATCAATTTTATTCTATGGCTATCGCTTTAAAAAAGAAAGTGTCCCAGTGGGCGTTTCGCAGTCAGTCCTTTTCTGACTCCGAGAGTGTGAGCACCTAGGATGCCATGTGGAAGCCGAAGCCGCTCCTCCCGGGTGGCCCCTCAGATGAGGGCTGCTCCCAGACAAGCACCTGCAGCTCATCCTCCAGCAGCAGCTGCACCACCTGCACCCAGCAGCCAGGCCTGATGGCCCAGATGGCCACCACTGCAGCTGCTGTGGCTGTGGGCTCTGCAGTGGGCACACCCTGGGTCATGCCATCACCGGGGCCTTCAGTGGAGCTGGTGATGCTGAGCCCGCAAGGCCTGACATCACTGACCAGGAGCCCCAGGGCCCCCAGCTGGTGAACCAGCAGTCTCTCGGGCCTTGCTCTCTTGAGATCAAACAGTTTCTGGAGTGTGCCCAGAACCAGAGTGACGTCAAGCTCTGCGAGGGCTTCAACAAGGTGTTGGCGGCAGCGCAGAATCGCAAATGGTTTGATCTAACCAAGAAGTTGAAACTGAAGAAACTGAAATGGGCTCGAAATGGGTTCAACGTAACTGACAGCGCAAGTGTGGACC